CTCTGGGTGAGGGCAGAGAAGTGCCACTAAGTCAGAGAAAGACAACACAGCAGGGTCTGATAGAAGAGGTATCTCAGGGTCATAGAGAGGAGGCTTCTCCAGGTCTAACAGAGGAGGTCTTTCAGGGTCAGAAGGTGGAGGCTCCTGACAAACAGAGAGAAAAAAGTTCTAAGTATCAGAGAAAGACAGCTTCTCAAGGTCAAGAAAAGAAAATTCCTCTATCATTAAAAGGCAATGTCCCACAGGCCTGGCAAGGGGCCAGGGGCCAGGGGCCTAAACAGCCCCAAGGGTACACTGGTCCCCTATGTCCCTCGAAAGACTTCTGTAGCTCCCCAGGAGGACAGAGAGCCCAGCCTCAAAGAGGGGAGAGTCCAGATCCAGGAATAAAAGCCAACATTCAAGGAGGAGAGCTGGCCCCAACCATGGCCAACCTACAGGGACCCCTGCCCCAGCTCCCCGGCACAGTGATGCTGGAGGCACCCAGCACGTGTAGCTCCAGGCAGCAGGAACCTCCTGCCTCGCTCCCAGAGGCCCCATGGCCGAGCTGCGGTCTACCTGGGTTGCAGGGCCCAGAAGGAGGCCCTCAGTCTCTGGAGGGAGAGATGCCTCGGGACGTGCTCGGAGAGCAGAGGGTCATGGCCCCAGGCCCTAATCCCTCGAAAGCTGCGTGGCCCAGGCCCCGGGATGATGAGATGGCAGCGGCCACAGAGGGTCTGAGCTCAGCGCAGCAGGAGACCGCGCTGCAGCGGCTGCTAGAGCTGCACCAGGAGGCCAGACGCCGACAGCGGCAGGACCGCGAGCGGCAGCAGCTCCGGGTGAGCAACAGGGCAGGTCCCTGGGGGCTGAGGGGCGGGGCCGAGGAGGAGAGGGGCCGTGAGGGGGCGGGGCCAGGGCTAGTTCGGGGGCGGAGCCTAGAGAGAGGCGAGCGATTCGGGGGCGGGACTAGAAGGAGGTAAGCGGTTTGGGGGCGGGGCCTAGAGAGGGGCAAGCCGTAGGGGGAGGGGCCAGGAGCCGCTTAAACGGCTTGGGGGCGGGGCCGCGAGCCGGAAGGGCACAGCTGACTGGCCAGAGGTGGGGGTTTGGCGTGGGTCCAGGCTGGCCTGGCGGGTGAAGCAGTGGGTGACGGACGTCAGGGTGAGGTGGTGTGGAGGTTGCATGGGCTAGTCTTGAACAGGCCAGCTGGGCTGGGGGCGGGGCCTGGGCGGGATGGGGTTGGTCAGCTGACAGCAGCCTCCTCCAGGTCCTGGAACGCCTCTCCATTGCTAGGAACCGCTACTCTCGGGTTCACCCGATGCGGCCACCCCTCAGCCCCGCCCAGCTCCTGCCACAGGCAAGTCCCCGGGGATGGTGGAGGAGCCACCACTCTCCTGGGAGGGGGAAGAAGGAGACCTTGGTTTGGCCTGGGATTCCTTGGAAGTGCATGGCTCACACCCTTCCCAGGACACCTGGGCGCGATTGCGATTGGCGGGGTCTGCTGGGACAGCCAATGGGTGGGAGGCGGTGCTCAGTTCTTGGCTCTGCCCAGGAGGATGTGGAGGGGCAGCGGCGCGCCCTGCGGGAGCAACTACAACAGGTGCACCGGGAGAGGACCAGGAGGCTGCGGGCCCTCAGGGCCAGGTGAGGGCACAGTGGGGCAGAGGTGAGGGCAGCCTGCTCCGCCCCCCTGCCCCCCCCGCCCCCCGCATCTGCAGTGACAAGCCACTCTTCCACCAGGAACACCCAGAATTTCCAGGAGCTGCTGTGGTCCCCTGGCACCGAGGAGTCTGTTCCCAGGGAGTAGCGCGCACCCGCCCCAGCATCCCTCTAGTTCTTGCTGGATCCTCAGGAGGCGCCTTGGTAGTCAGGGGTCAAGGAAGAAGCAAGAGGGGTCCCTTGTACACCTGCAAATGCTGGTGGGCATGGATTTTAGGAAACCCAGAATGCAAGCTCAGGATCCAGAGAATCAGACACAGACACAGCCGCTTTGCCACATGGGGTCTGTCGTTCCCCCATCCACCCCAGCCCACCTGTCCTGCCAGGCCAAGGTCAGAGCGCCAGGTCACGTGGGTCGAGCATTGCAAAGGCACCATTCTTGCGGAAGAAGGAATCGATGCTGCACATCTTGCAGGAGACTGGTTCTTGCTTCACGGTGGGACCTGGGAAGTGACAGCAGAGGCCAGGAATGGACTCCAGAGAAAAGGCACTGGGGAAGGGATGCGGGCTTGGTGCACAGCCCTCGGTAAAGCTGTTGTATCACTTTACAAGTGTGAAAAATGACTGCTGAGGAGGGGACTGTGGGCGTGGGGCATGCAGGAACCTGGCTGGGCACCTGGATCTGCCGCTATTGCCCTGTCCTCAGTCTCTGGTTCCTTTGGGGAGGGGGTAGGCAGGAAAACACCCAGTCCTTCCCTTTACAGGGGCCGACACAGGCTTGTCTGAGAGATGAGGCTTCCTTCGGCCCTGCCTCTTTTTTGGGGCTCACTTCCTACTTTTGTTAGAAAGTTACTCCTTTCATTCCAGCATCAGAGCCTTGGGGACAGTAGGGGACACTGCATGCAAACCTTCAGCTTCAGTGCCTTTTGGCACCTACACTCAAGCAGCTGGACAGGACATTTGGGTGGCTAGTCTAACTTTAAAGTCATGACCACAGGGGGCAAAGTGGCACTGAGCTACAGCTGGTCACCAGGACCACTCCCCAACACATTCTTACTCACATGTTTCTACCCACTCCAAGAAGCTCCACTGTCCCTCCTTCTCTCCCACAAGTGATGACCTGGAGTGAACCTCACAGGACAGTCTGGAGGGAGTCTTCTCAACATCTCCCCACCTGCCTCCCCTCCCACCAGATTCTAGCAACTTCTGCTCCAGTTGGGAATTGCTTAGAGCTTGAATGCTAACCAAAAGGTCTTAAGTTTGGACTCACTGGCTGTTTGTTCCTTGGGAGAACAACTTGTTTGCTTCCGTGAAGACTCACCACCTTGGAAACACTACAGACCTATAGAACTACTCTGTCCTATAGGGTGATTCCTATGTGTTGGAATCCACCTCAATGACCAATAGTTCTGTTTTTTTCTATTTTTCTGGGAGTTCCTGGGTGGTGCAAAGAGCACACTTGTCTGTTAACCAAGTGAAGGTTCCAGTCTACCCCAAGGTGTCTCAGAAAAGGTGATTTACTGAAAAATCAGAACACAGTCTACCCTGCCACACAAGGGGTCACTGAGTTAGAATCAACTCAAAGGCAACTTTTGGTTTTCTATGTTCTCATGGCCTTGGAATTTGCATTCTTCACCTCATTGGTTCTCCTGAGGCCACCTGACAGTCCAAGAACAACCGCCCGAAGTGGCCTGTCTTCAGGCATCCAGCCCTGCTCCTCTTCCATTCCTGTCACAGCTGCTCCAGCCACAACCTAGATGCCAGCAGTGATTCCCCTTTCCTCTGATGATCAAAACATCAGTCAGTTCAAATTTGTCTTCCTTCAAAGCATGCTCTGACTCCATTTCTCTTGGCACCATTGCTAGTCACAGCTCTAACCTTTGTCATCTGCTGCATTAACTTTAACAGGGGCCCACCTCACCTGTCAGCATCTACTCTCCCCTGAAAGATGTTACCTACAGACCAGCCAGGGTGATTTTTTTAAAGTGACCAATATCTAGCACTCATCTGCTTAAACCCTGCTCTGGGCCCTGTGCTCGGAATCAAATGTCAATCGCTCCTTATGACATGGACACCTGAACACCATCTCTCAGAGGACCTGCCCCACCGTCCTTCCCGTGAGGACACCTTACCCCATCGCTCCCTAGTGTCATGGTGGAGCCTGCCCCTCTGGGACGTTTCCTTCCTGTCCACACAATGTCACAAGGCTCCCTGCTTTGTGCTGAGCTCACTTGGCCCGTGACAGATGTTCAGCATTTGGTGGGGTGAATAATTTCTGGAGGTTGGGGCTCACCTAGCTGCCAGCCATACGTGAAGTTGGTGGTGATGGGGAAGAAGTAGCGCTTCTCTGGCAAGTCCAGTTTTCGAGTGTTGAGGTAGAGGTAGCGCCCCTGAGAGTCATGGGAGATGCCTTCGTACAGCAGGGCCCGGGTGGCAGGCGGCACTGGGCACATTTCTGACTGAAAATGAACCTCCTGGACAGGACTGGGGGCCTTGGATGGAGCTGCTTTGGAGATAGGTGGGAGTGCGACTGGGGCTTGGGGTTTCAGGGCGGGCAGTTTGAGGGGGATGTGGGCTGCAGCTTTCGCCTTCTGCTTGCCCTTCACCATTGCTCCGTACTTGCGGTACCATCTACAGCGTACCATCTTCTCCTTCAGAAACTCCTCCTTCCAGAAGTTTTGCTGCAGGGTGTCCATGCCAAGTTGTGTGAGGCGAGGGCAGGGCAGCAGTACCAGCGGTCAGTGGAATGAACGGAGGTTCTCCTTCTGACTGCTGGGGGGCGCTGCCCAGGGAGAGTCACCTGGCAACCAAGCCTCACCTCACACAGGGCCAATGTTCTACCTGAGGCAGCGTCAAGCCAGGGCCCACAGCCACGCAGCTCTGACCCCTCAGACCGTGGTCAGGCCCGGGCTCCGTCTCACATCACATTCGTGTACGGATCCTCCGTTTTCTGTTTTGGTCCCTGGAGACCAGAACCCTAGTCCAATGCAGAGGGGAGCGAGGGAGCCAGAGCCAGCTTCTCTCTCCTCCACCCTGATGTAGGGCACAAGCCTTGGGCCACAGCCTTGTGGTGAACTCTTCCTGGCCCACTGCTGCCATGCTTGGGGCTTTGGTAGAACCTCTTTTAACCTTGCCAATCTCTTCACCCCAACAACTGCACCTCATGCGTCCTTCCCAGCACCAGCCCACACTACAGAGGGAAGCAAGAATACGACTTTAATTTAACATCCACAATGACACTGCGTAACAGCACAGGAAGAGTTAATGGAAGAGGGAGAAGGTGGGCAGGCTTCCCACTCCCTCACCAGCCTTGGTTTATATGCCAGATCCTCAGTGACCCCTACCCACCTCGCTTAGCCTGTCTGGAGTGGGAGCGGGCAAGGAGTTGGAAGAGGTTCAGAATACAAGGGTGGATAACAAGCCTGGGAAGAGGCCTGGGTATGAAGGCGGGGCTGGAGGGCTGGGCCACCCCTAACGCAGGTCTTCGGCAGTGAACATGCCCTTGGCTCTACGCAGGATGGAGTCCTTGGTGGCGTCGTAGGGGTGCTCCTTGGATGGGATCTCAAGGACGGCCGGGATGGAGCGCTGGTGGGCGTCCAGTGCGTGCCGCACCATCTCAGCGATGTACTGGTTGATGAGGATGATGCCAATGTCATCTCGATTCAGAAACTGCCTGTGGGGAGAGAAGGACAAGAGCGTGTCCAGGGCAGCTCTGAGGGCCTCGCTGCTGCCCACGCAGCCCATTATAGATTGGTTATGGAAGGGGCACAGTCCAGGGTGTGCAGAGGACAGGACAAGACTGCTATGTTAGACAGCTTCTCTCTCAAATGTATTGAGAATCAAGTTCATTCAAAAGCTAAGGGCCACGTCTGTCAGGGTTCGCTTCTCCCTCCCTGCCACTGAGAAGGCTTCCAGGTAACTGAGGATGAAGATGAGGGTGCAAGCCAGTATAGATGGTGTGTGTGGGAAGACAGGAGCTGCTGTGGAGTCAGTTCTGACTCAGGGTAAAACTCAAGGGTTAGAGGAGAAGTGGGCTCCATTGCATTTTCAATGGATGATGTTTTAGAAGCAGACTGCCAAGGAGAGAACTCTGCTGACCTAGTGGCAGTTGCCAATTTAAAGGCAGGCAGTCTGAATCCACTAGCTGCTCCACAGGAGAAACAAGGGTAATCTCCTGCCATGAAATTCACAAGCCTCCAAAACCCCATAGAGGGTCAATTACTAATCAGTTCCAACTCTATGACAGTGAGTGAGACTGCCAAGAGGGCCGTGGGGGCACTTGAGTTCCCAACCTGCCGGTTAAATATGTAAGAAAGGCTATTTGCAGGGAGCTCTAGTGGCCTAGTAGCAAGAAGCTTCACTGCAATCCCAGAGGTCAGCAGTTTGAATCCACCAGATGCTCTGCTTGAGAAGGAGGGGCAATCTCCTCCTGTACCAGTCAGATCTGATTTAACGGTACACACACAAAGTATATATATATTTAAAAAAAAAAGATTTGCAGGGAGATCTGGTGGCCTAGAGGCAAGAAGCTGTGTTGCAATCTCGAAGGCACATGGTTAAAAACCACCAGATGCTCTGCTTGAGAAGGAGGGGCAATCTCCTGTGCCAGTTGGATCTTATTTGATAGTACACACACACACACACACACACACACACACACCTCTCTTGATGACATGAGTGGGAGGGAGACCTCTCAGTACTTAGTATTTTAAAAATACTAATTTTCAAGTCATAGGAAGACATAAACTTTTTTGGAAAACAAACTACAAAAAATAATAAAGCTGGTGTACCCATTGGAGATTTGTGCTCAGTGGGGAATTCTGGCATGGGTTGAGAAGACAAAATAGGAAGAACATCATCAGTCATGTAGGGGTCACATTTTCCACACTGATTCACCCTGCTCTTGGGATGCCCTGCTCTTGTGACCCCCGGCCTACACACTACACTAATTTATCCAGTCAGCAATGTGACTGCCACACACTGGGCTAGGCCAGACTCAGTGAATTCTAAGAGTAAAATCTGTCCTCTTTGCTGACAACTTGAGTCACATGAGATGGCTGGTCAGTCAAGACCGCAGGCAGCAGGAACCAGTTTCAGCCACAGCCCTGGACTGTTTAGGAGGAAACATGTAGGAGTGGTTGACTCCTGAGACTTGGCACAAGGGGCCATGGAGAAGGAGTAGGGGAAGAGCATGGAGCTGGCACCCTCAACTGTCTAGGGCCCCTCCTGGAAGAGAGGGCCTTTCACACCACCACCTGAACTGTCATCTTCAACCCAGGGCAGGAAAAGGAAGGTTTCAAATGCTAGAGCTGCCCAAAGTCTTAGCAGGAGGACAAGCACAGGCTTGGAATTCTGACCACTGTGCTCATGACGGATGGAAAATTGTCAAGGGAGATTGTGGGGAGCTGAGCAAGCCCATTCTGCAGGTCACTTAGGGACAGAGGCTCGGGACTGGGTTCAAATCCCAGATGTGCGTCTTTCAACAGGCGGAGAATGGATTTGCTTGCGTCCTTTAACCTGATTGACGTTCCCTTCCTCACTTGTGTGAATAACAAACCCTACGTTTAAGGGCGATTGTGAGCTTATAATGGAGATGGAGTTCTGGCGCGTAGCCTGTAGGGAGTGGAGCTGCTAACCCCAAGGCGGAGGTTCGAATCCACCAGCGGAAGGAAGAGCGTCACTCTCCTCCCGATTCGATTTACAGCCTAAGAAACCCAATGGAGCGTCACTATGCGCTGGTTCTGATTCGACAACAGTGGGGTTTTCTGAATGGAGACGAAAGAGCAGGAAAGCCCATGCACACGAGTTTGGGGTACATTCGCCGAATGCCTGCCAGGCTCGGAGCCTGCTCCAAGATGATGGGGTGTCTCTGTAGAGGCGCTGAGGGGGGCCCTACGGCAGGGACAGGCAGGGCCGAGGGGCAGGGCCCAGCACCCTTCACTCCTGACACATGCTCATGTGAGGGGCGAGCTCGTGCACTGTTACAGCCAGGGCCCCACAGAACCCCAAAAGGGAACCTGGAGGACTGGGCAGAAGCCTCTGATCGGAATTCCCAGAGTCCAAGGTGGGGGTCTGACACTTAGGCCAGGTCCGCAAAGTCGGGCGCAGGACCCAACGCGGCCCCGGGACTGCTGCTCTGTCCTCTCTCCCTGTGGCCCCCAACTGCGCCCCAGGTCGCGGAGGAGCCTGCCCAGGCCTCGCGGGCCACCGTACCGGAAAGTGTCTTCGATCTCGTTGATGGTTGTATCCTTTTCCACCACCAGGAAATTCGGATGGCGGTTCTTGTTGAGTTCTCCTATGCCACCCAGCAGGAAGCCAGTCACCGTGTCCTCGTCTCCGATCACCGCGATGAGCTTCCCGCGACCCGCCATCCTCTCGGTAAGCGGAGAACTCCCGGCGTCTGCGCCCAGGAACCCGAGCCCCGCCCACGCAGGCTTCCTCTTTTCAGGACCACGCCCACCCGCCACACATGCGCAGTTCGCCAACCTGACAAGAGCATGCGCACTGAGAGAAAAGTAACTTCAACCGGAATACGCCTGCGCAGGAAGGAGAGGTTCTAACCAAAGTACTACAAATCCCAGAAGGCCGCGCGGCACTCAGGGTCTCGGTTTGGGTTCTTCGTTTTTAATTCAGACATTCAGTGCGTTCATTCAGGGAAAGTTTTGAACCTTTTAGGCAGCTGGTCGCTGACACCAAAAAGAAGTCGATACAATTCTCATATTCGAGGGCAAGGCCCATTTCCGATCTACAATGACTAGGGATGATAGAAGGAGAATGGATGCCTTTGAGCTGCGGTGCTGGAGAAGAGTATTGAATATACCATGAACTGCTAGGAGAACCAACAGGTTCGTCCTAGACGCTGAAACCAGGCTGCCCTTGGAGGCAAGGATTCGGAAGCTTCGTCTGACATTCTTTGGACATGTTGCAAGGAGGGACCAGTCCCTGGAGAGGGACATCATGCTTGGGAGGGTGGAGGGACACCACAGGAGAGGAAGACCCTGCATGAGATGGATTGATTCAGTGACTGGGGTAATGGGGGTGGGTGTGTCGGAGACAGTAAGATTGGCACAGGACAGAGCACGGTTTAGGGCTGTTGTACATAGGGTCGCTATAAGTCGCAAACAACTCGATGGCAAATAACAGCAACAACAACAATTCAGCATACAATAGTTTGTTGTTGTCTGTCATAGTAAAGATGCACAAAGCAGCTCTGAACTCTGTTCTATCTTGAGCCAATTTCATTGTCTCCTACACCTCCCCCCCCCCCATTACCCCAGTCATTGAATTAATCCATCTCATCTGGAGTCTTCCTCTCTTGTGCTGTCCCTCCACACTTCCAAGCATGATGTCCCTTTCCAAGGACTGGTCCCTTCTTGCATTAATATTCCCAAAGTATGTCAAGCAAAGTTTCACAATCCTCTCCAGGACAAATCTGTTTGTTCTCTTAGTCCATGGTATGTTCAAGACTCTTCTCCAGCTCCACAACTTAAAGGCATTGATTGTCCTTCTAGCATCCTTAGTCATTGTCACACTCTCTGATGCAGAGCAAGTAATTATGAAGGCCATGGCCTTGATCAGGAGCATCTTAGTCTCTAGACTTGACATTATTGCTCTTTGGTACTTTGGAAAGGTCCCACAGATTTTCCCAGTACAATTCATCTTTTCATTTTTTGGCTGCTGGTATCAACAGTGCTGATTATGGAGTCAGGCAACTGAAGCTGTTAACAATCTCAATCTTTTCACCATCTATCATGATGCTGCCAGTTGGCCTAGTGGTAAGAATCTTTGCTTTCTTTTTTTTTCAATTTAAATACATTTTTTAATATATACTGGTTTACTTGTAAAGTTCATACACATTATTTCTCACAGTGGATCTTTCCCATTTCCTTCATTCAAGGTCTGGGCCTTCCTAACCACATGCTCAAAGTACGTGAGACGAAGTTTTGCCATCCTTGCCTTAAAAGAGCACTTTGCTTGCATTTTCTCCAAGACAGATTTGTTTACTCTTTGGCTGTCTGTGGGCTTTTCAACTGAGCTGAGTGCAAAGGCCAAGCTGAAGGACAAGAGATCAAGTTGGGAAACTACTGTCGTGAGAGCTGATGGTGGCTGGAACTCAGTTATGAGGGATGTGGATAAACGGAAAGAATGAAGAGATATTTTTGATGGGGGATGGAGGCAGAATTAAGTGGAAGGAGAGACCCAGGTGATGTCTAGGTTCTGGTCTGTGGACCTCCATGCACGAGAGTAACGTCTGGAGTGAACTCTGAGATGAACAGGTTGGAGAGAAAGGTTTATTTTTTCCTTCTCCCTTTCAGCAAACAGGCACCTGAAATCAGCATGTGATTTGTGAACTAACTTGGAATGTGTGGAGTGTGGACCAGTGGTTATATGTCTGGACTTGGGATTTTAACACCTGGCTTCATATACTGTTAGAGGTATAATTTTGGATTCCTCACTCTAGTTCTTAGGGCTCAGATAATAACTTGCCCACGTCACAGGGCCGGCAGGAGGATTCAGTGAGATGAGGCCCAGGCAAGCTCAGCACTCATTACACCCTGTGGTTGGGTAGAGCAGCTGGCCCAGAGATCTGTAAGCACATCAGTGAACTGGAGGAGGTTGGCTGAAGCTGAGGCAGCCTGGGATGTGGGTGGTGTGGAAGAGCGAGAAGGCGGGCGGGCACTGAGAGAGGGAGAATGTGTGGAAAAGTAGGGAAACATCCGATTCCGTGACTGGCCCAGAACAGCCAAATGTGCTGAGGACACAAGACTGATAAAACATGACTTTCCGCAAGGAGCTTCCTGCAGAATACACCAGGGGAGGGGGTGGACAGTAAAGAGAGGCCCTGGGTTCTCGAGGGGGTGGGATCCAGAATGGGCGGGGGGAGGTACCTCTTCCTCTAAAGTTGAGGGAAAGAAACTTCCAGAGGAGTGAAGAGGCAGATGTGCTACAGAGTGAAGAGGTGAGGAGGGGATTAGGAGCTGGGACACATGTGTTTGGGATCCTCATTTACAGACCCACCTCCATGTGCAGAAGGTCTGGGCACTGGTCTAGATTTAGGTGGTCAATTGCATGGAATGCCCCTTTGTCTAGCTCTGGCCACTCATTTGTTCATTTATAACACTTATGTTTGTTACTCAGGAACAGGGAGCTCCCAGTCTAGTGGTGAGGGGGCACCGAGTAGAGCCAAGGTGTAAATGTTGTTGTTATTGTAACTGTTGTTACGTTGTTCGTTGCCTTCAAGTCGAGCACGACTCATAGCAACCCTATGAACAAAAGGCCTGAAGCCCCTCTACAACTATCCACATTTATCAAAGTTCGTAGAGTTTCCGGAGGTGTGTGGTTTAGGAAGTGGATGCTACTTCTGCTTCCAAAGGTGTAAATACATGGCATAAAAACAACTATAGATAGGTACGTTGGGGCATGGTGGGGGCTGAGGGAGCAGATATGGGCCCAGGATAGTTTCCTGTTGTCCATGAACATGAGGAGGAACGTGGGGAACAAGGCTGATTCTGGGAAGAGGACCCAAACGGCATCATGAGTGCCCAGGAACTCATCCGTGAAGTGGGGTTGGAGGTGGGAATGTGAGGGGGTGGGCACATTGCTGACTCATAGGGGTTCTGCGAGGTAATTGGGGAGACTGGGGCATGCACATGGAGGGCTGGGGAGAACACTTGTTGGGAGATATGACTTCTGCCTGGAGCAGGAGAGGCAACCTGGAGGGGCCTTAACCCAGAGAGGGGCAAGATCATTCTGGGTTCAGCCAGACTGGAAAGGGCTGGGCCAGGAGGCAGGCGTTCAGGGAGGAGGCCCGGAGCAGGCTGAGGGTGGGGCTGCAGCAGGTCCAGGTTTCCCAGGAGCTGGTTGGAGGGAAGGCGCATGGGTGTGCACCTGGCTGGTGAGAGGACTTCTGGCTGGGGCAACGTTCCTGAATCAAGGTCCCCAGTTTAAAAACACCCTTGTAGGCTGGCTCCCCTGAAATTGGCCTAGGGTAGTCTTCTGGAACAGCATTCATCTGCCTTCTCCCAGCCAGCTATCATGAGATCTCTGAGCACCCACTCCAGTTTCCTGTCCATCGGCGTCCCCATCCCAGGACTCACCACGGATAGCCTCAAACAGCAGCTTTCTGCTCCAGGGCTGGTCTGTGGGCCTGAGTCAGTTCTCCAAGGGACAACCACTTGACCTCAGCCTCCCCAGGGCCTGATTTCATACATACAGGCGGGGAGGGGCTAACTGTGGCGAGCACACCCCCAAGAAACAGCCAGAGCCTCGGCGACAGGCCACAAACTTTATTTGGGTCAGGAGTTTTCCACTTAAGCGGTTCCCGGCTGAGCCGCATGACATGTGCAAAAGTCCCCCCAGAAAGCTGGGCCTCGCAGTGTGTACAAAAGGCCCCCATGGGGCAGAGCTGTGCAACTGTAAAAAAAAAAAAAATATGAGAGAACGGAGTCCTAGCTCGGGCGGGCAGAGTGGTTCCCGGCTGTCAGCGTGCTGCGCTGTGGCTGTGCTGGGTCTGCTCTCCAATTGTGCTTTCTTTTCCAAGTCCTGATGGCTCTGGCGCTGTGGCACCAGAGGGGCCAGGCACAGTCCTTGGGACCAGGGGCCCTGGCTGGGAGTGTGGGCTGAAGGGGGCTCTCACACACACAGAGTCCCCCAACACACGCAAATGTGACTGGCCTCGGCCCCGCAGAAAACTCAGGGCTTCCCTGGCGCCTCTACCCCCACGGCGTGACCCTCATGTCACAGCCTGGCCCACAAGCCTGGCCCCAATCTGCCCTCATGTCACATTCAAGGGTCAGACGCTGCCCTGACACAAGGCCCTCCGACCCCTGGGGGCACAGTGGGGGGAGGCTGTGCCATTGGCCTCACACCCCAAGCAGGCAATGGTAGTGTTTAACTGTTCATGTGTGCCCATTGTGGTACGTCCGGATGGATGAGGAACATCCGGGGATGTGTGTGAGTGTGTGTGGCTGGAGCTGGGGGCCAAGGCTGGGAGAGACACTTCTGGGGTTCAGGGCACATTGACTTTGAAGGGGCTACCAGGGACACTTTCATCGCCCCACTTGACGATGAGGATGTAATCGCCTTTCTCCTTGACGGTGTAGGTGACGTTGTACACTCGATTGCCCATGTGTTTCACGTACACCTCCTCGCAGGGCGTCTTGGGCCCATGCACACCCACCATCATCATGTTGGTGCCTGGAGGTGGAGACAAGAAGTGGGCTCACACCAGGGGCCTCACTCTTCACCCACCTCTCCTGGTTCCCACCCCGTGGTGCTCCCTCCTGTCCCCCTTGGGAACTCGCCTGCTTTGCTGCAGTCCACGGTGAAGGAATTCTTCTGGCCCACAAAGGCCTGGGACAGCCCAGGGCCACG